AATTTAAATTATAAAATTTAAAATTCAAAAAATAAAACACCTTGATATTAGAATGTTCTTGATGTCAGAATGTTTCATTATAATTATTTGTTAAATGGATTTTAATTAAGGGTCCAATTAATAGATGGTTATGATAGATTAGAATGTTTTGATTTTTATTTTTTTTTTATAAAATTTAAAAGAAAAATTCATGATTTATTAGTCAATTTATAGAAATCTTAATTTTCATTAAATAAAATTCTAAGTTTAAGTCTTTTAAACGAAAAAACAAGTATTAAAATGATTTTTTTATGAGGTTTAACGTAATTAAATTTTGAATTAATTGAGATTTGATATGATTTCTAAATACGAAAAAATTAACCAGAAGTAAATTTTTTTAAAAAAAATTGATAATTTAATATTTTTTAATTCAAATAATAAAAAAAATAAAAATCAATATGTTTTAACATTAATAATGTCAAAATATTCAGTAATAATTACATAATAAATTTTATAAATTTAAATTTCATAATATACCCTACACATTTAATAATTATGATTAAATATCCTAATATGTTTAATATCAAGATATCATAGTTTTCCCTTTCTCAATAATAAAACATAATTATTTAATTGAGAGTTCGTTTTGCACTTAGAGCCTTACCCTATCTGACCCTATCTGCTTGTTCAGGTTGTGCAGTCTTATGTTCCAACTGCACAACACAACCCTTTTTTCGAATTTCTACTTTATATGATCTCATGGTATAGAAAGCGGCAATAAATTGTTCAAGTTGATGTGTATTTTATTATTGAAAGCAACGATATACCATGAAAGTGTGAAAAATATATATATATAGAACAAAGACATCTCTCATTTATGCACATACCATACATCATGAGTGGTCATTGAACCCCATGAGACCAGAAAACATGACATGTTTCAGTTACGGTGTGTATTTTCCTTTCTTTTTAACTCTTCATCTGATACCATGTTAATCACAGTAAAGGCCTTTCCTGTGGAAGAATCTCCATCTGAGACCTGGAGAGGCTCCAAGGAATCTACTATGTCTCGCATTAGAGGCCTTGCTTTGGGGTCTCGGTTCAAGCAATGATATGCCAGCATGGCAGCTTTATGAACTCCTCTGATGGGATAATCTCCTGCTAATCTTGGATCAATAATGTTTTGTAATTTCTTCTTCTCTTTAAGGAGGGGGACAGCCCAGTCTGTGAGGTGCTGTTCACGGGCTGGTCGTGACTTGTCCAGTGATCTCCTTCCTGTAAGAAGTTCAAGAAGAACAACACCAAAACTGTATACATCGCTCCCTGGAGTTAAGTGACCTGCATAAAACACTAGCTGCTGGGAAGACAGTTGAAAACTTGAAATAACTTCACAAGGAAACAGCATGTTTTTAGTCTTTAGCCTTGCTCTTTGACAAGCAATGAATTCTTTGTACAACACTACAACATTTATTCTAAATACCAAATAGGAAGAGACTAAGAGACTTCGGATCCTTACTTCAATTCATTGCATAGCAGGTAAATTTCAGAACCTTCCCTTATAAAAACTTACCTGTCATTATGTACTCAGGTGCTGCGTAGCCATGTGTTCCCATTATGCGAGTGGAAACATGAGTATTGTCACCTACAGGTCCATCTTTTGCTAGACCAAAATCAGAGAGCTTTGCATTATAATCCTGTTTATCAAATATATTAGAGGAATTACAATCATAAGTCCAAGCTGTCAAATGGGAATATAACTACATGGGATGATATTGACATGGGTATTTGCTGTAAGATCAAACAGGTCCTTATAGTACAAAAAGAGTATTTCCCTTTTTCCTTTCAGTTCTTCTTAAGAAGAAATGAGAAACGGTTTTTCGTGTACTAACCATGTCCAACAAAATATTAGATGTCTTAAAATCACGATAGATGACAGGTTTCTCAGCTTCATGGAGAAAGGCAAGCCCTATTGCTGCACCAAATGCTATCTTCATTCTGATAGACCATGGTAGGGGAGGCAGTATTCCTGCAACAATGAGATTTCTCATAAGTTAGCTATCAAATAAAACAAATCCAGAGTCCTACAGCTGCAATACCAACAAAGAATTCAGTAAGTTAGCTACATTAGCAGTACTAAGTTCATGAGCTAATGAAATGCCCCCGAAACATCTATACATCTGTACATCTCTACTTCTCTAGCTTTCCACTCATGGTAACATGCAGAAACTAAACAATCATTCTAAAACCCTTTTAGTCACCTTTGGTTGAAAGCTACCACCCATAGACCATGTATCTCATTACAATCTAGCACACTTACCCTACTAAGTACCACCAAGGTGTTTAATCTAATCTTAAAAGACATCCCATGTCCATATAGACAAGTAAGAACCATTCTAGTTGCTTTAGAACTAATTTGATTCTTAGCTACTTCAGTGAATCGCTATGTAGACCTTAAACTAACTGACGCCATATTAAGCTAAGTTATACATTCCATAAGATTTATCTAACGATGACAAGCCAATTCCTTGGTTATTAGGAACTGACATCCGTGATAATAAGGGGAGGAGTCCGAGGGGAGTTTTGTTAGAGGAATTCAATGACATTACATGCTTTCACGTGTTTGGAATGCTAACAATGTATCCTTATTATATTAGCTATGCCTTGTTTGACTGCTAAATGCAGTCCAATCAATTCCCTCAAGCTGTTTACTTATCAATGTTGAACAAGAACAAGGTTCATGAAAATGCAAGATCTAAAAGAGAAGTAGTGTGTTATACTTACTAGAAAACAGATTGCTTTCCACACTTCCCCCTGCCATGTACTCATATATCAGTACCCGATGGTCATCTTCACAGCAATAACCAATCAGTTTCACCAAATTTGGATGAGAAAGCTGCCCCAGAAATATGACCTCCGCCTAAAAGTCCACAAAGCTCTTCATCAAATCCATACAAAATACAAAGTTTTATATAGTAGAACAAAACCAAAGGAAAAATAAAGTACCAGCCATTCTCTGTGCCCTTGATAACTATTATCACCATCATGAACCTTTACAGCAACTTGGAGAGGCTGAAGCCCCTCCCTCAGATCCTCACGAATAAACCCTTTATAAACTCTTCCAAAACCTCCTCCACCCAACACACGATCTTGCCTAAAGTTTCCAGTGATTATCTTCAGCTCTTCAAATGTGAATGCTATAAGTGGATTTGCAGCAGAATCTCGGCGTAGATCTTCTACTTCTTTGGGATTTGAGGGTAACTTAGAATCTTCCCTCATTTGTTTCTTTGAAGGCCTCTCATATTTTGGAAACTCTGAAAACAAACACAACATGTACAATAACATATTCCCATTCTTAAATATTACAAACAACAATTCCATGTTGCAGAAAAATTATGAATGGAGATAATAAAAATGATAAGAATGAAAGAAATACAGTGACAAGCATTCCATTGCCATTTGCCATACAAAAAGATGAGGATAAAATGCACTAACTTTCTAAAAGTGGAGTTAAAAAGTTAGAAGGTACACTTTCTATTCTTCTATTCTAATTGCAGACGAATGGAAACATCTAGAATATAAGATCCATGAAAATACTTAGAAAAGAAAAGAAAAACCCATAAAATTTAAAGAAGTAAAAACCAAGTTGAATGAAGAAACAGGGGAAGGAAAAGGGAGAAACTCTGAATCCAGTAAGAAAAAGAAGCCTAAGAGTATTCAAAGTTCATATCTGGTAGTACTGATTTCAATTTTGGAAAAAGCAGCATGATAATCAAGACCGAATAGCCACGAACTTATCAGGGAAGCAGCATGATGGCAGAAAGCAAGAAAATTGAAACCAACCTGACTTAGCATTAGAGGAGACGGTGTAAATCGAAGGCTTCTCCCATCTACGGAAGCAATTCCCCATATTATGCCAAAAGGTAAAACCCTCACCACCAACACCCCGTCAGCAAAAGCAAGGATTTTTCCCTCACTTTTAGTAAAACCACCAAATTAGGACCCCCAATCAGCACCCAAAAAGGACAGAACAGAAAAACAAAGAGAACACTGTTATGATGAAACCCAGAGGGATGTTTCGTTGTGGGGCCGTAGTGGGTAGGAATAGCAAACTATTGATAAGAAACTTAAAAAAATTTCCTCGATGGAAATGATGGGTGAGGGTTGATGTGGGGAGGCAAGTTCTTGGCTATGGCAGAAACGGTCCCATAAAATGTACAGATGGAGAGATGGATGGACTCTCGTTTGTTCTGTGGTACCAATTCAAAGTGGGAAAATTGTTGCTTTTGTGTCTTTTCCTTTGAGGGCGGATTTGAGTCGAATCTTTTACCAGTCTTTTTCTAGGTCCCTAAAAGACTCAAGCTTTCCCTTTTGTTAATGTTCCCACGGCTGAGTTTAGAGTCTTTAGACGCCACCAAATCGCATGAAAGTTGGAATCTTTCAATCTCTTTACCTACCATTATTTCTTAATAACTCCATTAATTTTTGGGGTTTATCAATTGTGACATGATTAACACTTTATTCTTTATAATTTATGTTCTGAAAGCTACATTGGAGACAGACGTTTGGGCCAAATGTGGTGGAAGAACTCACCTGTTCACCAAGTCAATCTCAGCCTTCAACAAAGGATGGATAAATGATTTTCAACTTGATGAAGAGTTAAGGTTGAATACTTTAGAGAAAGAATTGCTTGATTAATGTCATATTGCAGTACTGTGAGTTTAAGTACCATACTTGAT